GACATTTTGAAAACTGAAGGGGAGTTGGGCAAAATACGACCCATCGCCGTTTTCAGTAATTGGCATATTTTCGGTATAAAAAGTCGTAATTTGAAAATGAAAATAGGTGCAGAGAGTCAGAATTCGGCTCAAAAATCACGCTCAGGAGTCAAATTTCGGACATTTCAGACATTTTGAAAACTGCAGGGGGGTTTGGGCAAAATATGACCCATCGCCGTTTCGGTATAAAAAGTCGTAATTTGAAAATGAAAATAGGTGCAGAGAGTCAGAATTCGGCTCAAAAATCACTCTCAGGAGTCAAATTTCGGACATTTCAGACATTTTGAAAACTGCAGGGGGGTTTGGGCAAAATATGACCCATCGCCGTTTTCAGTAATTGGCATATTTTCGGTATAAAAAGTCGTAATTTGAAAATGAAAATAGGTGCAGAGAGTCAGAATTCGGCTCAAAAATCACGCTCAGGAGTCAAATTTCGGACATTTCAAACATTTTGAATATTGCAGGGGGGTTTGGGCAAAATATGACCCATCGCCGTTTTCAGTAATTGGCATATTTTCGGTATAAAAAGTCGTAATTTGAAAATGAAAAGAGGTGCAGAGAGTCAGAATTCGGCTCAAAAATCACGCTCAGGAGTCAAATTTCGAACATTTCAGACATTTTGAAAACTGCAGGGGGGTTTGGGCAAAATATGACCTATCGCCGTTTTCAGTAATTGGTATATTTTCGGTATAAAAAGTAGTAATTTGAAAATCTAAATAGGTGCAGAGAGTCAGAATTCGGCTCAAAAATCACGCTCAGGAGTCAAATTTCGGACATTTCAGACATTTTGAAAACTGCAGGGGGGTTTGTGCAAAATATGACCCATCGCCGTTTTCAGTAATTGGCATATTTTCGGTATAAAAAGTCGTAATTTGAAAATGAAAATAGGTGCAGAGAGTCAGAATTCGGCTCAAAAATCACGCTCAGGAGTCAAATTTCGGACATTTCAAACATTTTGAAAACTGCAGGGGGGTTTGGGCAAAATATGACCCATCGCCGTTTTCAGTAATTGGCATATTGTCGGTATAAAAAGTCGTAATTTGAAAATGAAAATAGGTGCAGAGAGTCAGAATTCGGCTCAAAAATCACGCTCAGGAGTCAAATTTCGGACATTTCAGACATTTTGAAAACTGCAGGGGGGTTTGGGCAAAATATGACCCATCGCCGTTTTCAGTAATCTGCATATTTTCGGTATAAAAAGTCGTAATTTGAAAATGAAAATAGGTGCAGAGAGTCAGAATTCGGCTCAAAAATCACGCTCAGGAGTCAAATTTCGGACATTTCAGACATTTTGAAAACTGCAGGGGGGTTTGGGCAAAATATGACCCATCGCCGTTTTCAGTAATTGGCATATTTTCGGTATAAAAAGTCGTAATTTGAAAATGAAAATAGGTGCAGAGAGTCAGAATTCGGCTCAAATATCACGCTCAGGAGTCAAATTTCGGACATTTCAGACATTTTGGAAACTGCAGGGGGGTTTGGGCAAAATATGACCCATCGCCGTTTTCAGTAATTGGCATATTTTCGGTATAAAAAGTCGTAATTTGAAAATGAAAATAGGTGCAGAGAGTCAGAATTCGGCTCAAAAATCACGCTCAGGAGTCAAATTTCGGACATTTCAGACATTTTGAAAACTGCAGGGGGGTTTGGGCAAAATATGACCCATCGCCGTTTTCAGTAATTGGCATATTTTCGGTATAAAAATTCGTTTTTTGAAAATGAAAATAGGTGCAGAGAGTCAGAATTCGGCTCAAAAACCACGCTCAGGAGTCAAATTTCGGACATTTCAGACATTTTGAAAACTGCAGGGGGGTTTGGGCAAAAAATGACCCATCGCCGTTTTCAATAATTGGCATATTGTCGGTATAAAAATTCGTAATTTGAAAATGAAAATAGGTGCAGAGAGTCAGAATTCGGCTCAAAAATCACGCTCAGGAGTCAAATTTTGGACATTTCAGACATTTTGAAAACTGCAGGGGGGTTTGGGCAAAATATGACCCATCGCCGTTTTCAGTAATTGGCATATTTTCGGTATAAAAAGTCGTAATTTGAAAATGAAAATAGGTGCAGAGAGTCAGAATTCGGCTCAAAAATCACGCTCAGGAGTCAAATTTCGGACATTTCAGACATTTTGAAAACTGCAGGGGGGTTTGGGCAAAATATGACCCATCGCCGTTTTCAGTAATTGGCATATTTTCGGTATAAAAAGTCGTAATTTGAAAATGAAAATAGGTGCAGAGAGTCAGAATTCGGCTCAAAAATCACGCTCAGAAGTCAAATTTCGGACATTTCAGACATTTTGAAAACTGCAGGGGGGTTTGGGCAAAATATGACCCATCGCCGTTTTCAGTAATTGGCATATTTTCGGTATAAAAAGTCGTAATTTGAAAATGAAAATAGGTGCAGTCAGAATTCGGCTCAAAAATCACGCTCAGGAGTCAAATTTCGGACATTTCAGACATTTTGAAAACTGCAGGGGGGTTTGGGCAAAATATGACCCATCGCCGTTTTCAGTAATTGGCATATTTTCGGTATAAAAAGTCGTAATTTGAAAATGAAAATAGGTGCAGAGAGTCAGAATTCGGCTCAAAAATCACGCTCAGGAGTCAAATTTCGGACATTTCAGACATTTTGAAAACTGCAGGGGGGTTTGGGCAAAATATGACCCATCGCCGTTTTCAGTAATTGGCATATTTTCCGTATAAAAAGTCGTAATTTGAAAATCTAAATAGGTGCAGAGAGTCAGAATTCGGCTCAAAAATCACGCTCAGGAGTCAAATTTCGGACATTTCAGACATTTTGAAAACTGCAGGGGGGTTTGGGCAAAATATGACCCATCGCCGTTTTCAGTAATTGGCATATTTTCGGTATAAAAAGTCGTAATTTGAAAATGAAAATAGGTGCAGAGAGTCAGAATTCGGCTCAAAAATCACGCTCAGAAGTCAAATTTCGGACATTTCAGACATTTTGAAAACTGCAGGGGGGTTTAGGCAAAATATGACCCATCGCCGTTTTCAGTAATTGGCATATTTTCGGTATAAAAAGTCGTAATTTGAAAATGAAAATAGGTGCAAAGAGTCCGAATTCGGCTCAAAAATCACGCTCAGGAGTCAAATTTCGGACATTTCAGACATTTTGAAAACTGCAGGGGGGTTTGGGCAAAATATGACCCATCGCCGTTTTCAGTAATTGGCATAATTTCGGTATAAAAAGTCGTAATTTGAAAATGAAAATAGGTGCAGAGAGTCAGAATTCGGCTCAAAAATCACGCTCAGAAGTCAAATTTCGGACATTTCAGACATTTTGAAAACTGCAGGGGGGTTTGGGCAAAATATGACCCATCGCCGTTTTCAGTAATTGGCATATTTTCGGTATAAAAAGTCGTAATTTGAAAATGAAAATAGGTGCAGAGAGTCAGAATTCGGCTCAAAAATCACGCTCAGGAGTCAAATTTCGGACATTTCAGACATTTTGAAAACTGCAGGGGGGTTTGGGCAAAATATGACCCATCGCCGTTTTCAGTAATTGGCATAATTTCGGTATAAAAAGTCGTAATTTGAAAATGAAAATAGGTGCAGAGAGTCAGAATTCGGCTCAAAAATCACGCTCAGGAGTCAAATTTCGGACATTTCAGACATTTTGAAAACTGCAGGGGGGTTTGGGCAAAATATGACCCATCGCCGTTTTCAGTAATTGGCACATTTTCGGTAAAAAAAAGTCGTAATTTGAAAATGAAAATAGGTGCAGAGAGTCAGAATTCGGCTCAAAAATCACGCTCAGGAGTCAAATTTCGGACATTTCAGACATTTTGAAAACTGCAGGGGGGTTTGGGCAAAATATGACCCATCGCCGTTTTCAGTAATTGGCATATTTTCGGTATAAAAAGTCGTAATTTGAAAATGAAAATAGGTGCAGAGAGTCAGAATTCGGCTCAAAAATCACGCTCAGGAGTCAAATTTCGGACATTTCAGATATTTTGAAAACTGCAGGGGGGTTTGGGCAAAATATGACCCATCGCCGTTTTCAATAATTGGCATATTTTCGGTATAAAAAGTCGTAATTTGAAAATGAAAATAGGTGCAGAGAGTCAGAATTCGGCTCAAAAATCACGCTCAGGAGTCAAATTTCGGACATTTCAGACATTTTGAAAACTGCAGGGGGGTTTGGGCAAAATATGACCCATCGCCGTTTTTAGTAATTGGCATATTTTCGGTATAAAAATTCGTAGTTTGAAAATGAAAATAGGTGCAGAGCCAGAATTTGGCCCCCAAAATATGGCCCAAGAGTCCGATTTGGGACGTTTGGGATATTTTGAAAAGTGTAGGAGGGGGGAGGGGAGGAGTTTGGACAAAATGTGACCCATCGTCGTTTTCAGCAATTGGCAATTTTCGGTATAAAAAGTCGTAATTTCAAACTGCAAATATGTGTAGAGAGGAAGTATTTGGCTCCAAAATATGGTTCTGGAGTCAGATTTGGGATATTTAGTCTATTTTGAAAACTGCAGGGGGGGGGGGGGCAAAATGTGACCCATCGCCGTTTTCACTAATTGCCATATTTTCGGAATAACAAGTCGTAATTTTTCAAACTCCAAATATGTCGAGTGAGCCAGAATTCGGCTAAAAAATAACGCTCATGAATCAGATTTCCGATATTTTGAAAAATATCGTTGGGGGGTTTGGATAAATTTTTACTCATTCTGGTTAAGCAAGACAGTCACATTTAATTTTTTTTTTTTAATTTTACCCCGAGGGGCGAGTTTATTGGGCAGCGCCACTCACCTGTTCTCTCAATTTAACCCCGTAAACAGACTGTTTCCGTCGATACCTCATCTGTTGCCTCTACCTCCCTTCCTCTAGCACTATTCAGTTTAAGGTAACACTTTGAAAACCTTGTGTGTTCATGGCTATTCGTAACTTCGTGTGTGTATATAACATATCAATAATGCAGGTCTTATTATGCAGATTACGCGTCCGTTCTCGACCACCTGGAGATAATGAGGATGGACTCAAATAGGCTCATTGCCAATTATTGTCAAGAGCGCTACGACGAACAGACTGAAGCTACACTTCCCGTCACGGGGCTGCTTGTCATCAGGGTAAGATGATATCTTATGGTCTCACTGTTATTTAATAATTTAAAGTCATTTAGATATATGGGGGGGGGCCACTAGACACATGGAGTGTCTGAAACACTATGCGTATTAGTGGCTTTATGTATTGTATGTACTAGCTCTATCTATAAATTCAATATGTTAACCAAACCACACACTAGAAAGTGAAGGGGCGACATTTCGGTCCGTCCTGGACCAGTCTCAAGTCGATTGTGAGACTTGATAATGTTGGATAATGTCAATCCAACATTGTTTGTAATTCTTCATCTATGTATATACTCTTACCTGAATAAAAATTTGAATTTTGAATTTGAGTGAAATATATGGGGCCACTAGACAGATGGTGGTCCTCAGGCAAATTCAGATCAGTTCAGGTTAGGTCCTCTATTTGAAAGTCTATATACAAGAGAGAGAGAGGCAGCCGTAAGATCTTGTGCAATAGTTCACTGGATAATGCTCTTTATTACAGGCATTTTACAAGGATGCAGACCACTTGGCCGTGAGAATTATCATGGCAAGAGACATAGTAGCGAGCACTGAGGAGGACGCCCGTAGTTTACCACTGGAATATTTTGTTAAACTTCAGCTCCAGCCTCCAGGGTGGTTCCCTAAAGCAACTAAGGCACACACTAAAATTCTAAAGGAAGATCCAGCCACCTTTGATGAGGAGTTCGAGTTGTGAGTAAAAAACAACAACTTGTGTATACATGTTTAAGGATTGGTTATAGTTGTCAAGCTCTAAAGGAAGACAGATTTTAGAATCGTCGTGATAACATTTTATTTGTCATCTCTTCCTGAACAAATCTACATGCCCGTCCGAGGCTTCAACATCCGCAAACAACACACTGATTACTGCCACATACTACAATCTTTCACTTGTCTGCTCAAATAAAAGAATGTAGAGAGCATTGATATTACTACAGCAAGTATGTAATACAGAGATCCTGAGAAGAGAAAAATAGGTGAATAAAATCAAACATTTTCTTTGCCTGGATGTCCTTTAGCTTTAGGGACATAACCTGGGACAAGAAACCTGTGGCTATTGTTTTTTTTAAATCATTTACAATAAAAAAATTGGGTTATATAGCATGTGTGTTTTACAGTCTCTAGTGGCAGGCTTCCTGTAACCCGTCGCAGCCACTACAGGGTTAGTGTGCGTGTGTGTACTTGTGTGCACGTGTGTGTGTGTGTGTGTGTGTGTGTGTGTGCGCGCTCTACACCGCATCCCGTTTTCGCACTTGCATATAGTCAATATTGGGTTATTTAATAAGTGCATATGTGACATACTAGTTGATTGTAAATATTTTATTTTACCTTGAAAAACTTCATAGAAAACACCGACCTCACCTAACCTTCTTAGTATGTTAAGATAAGCATCTTATTGCTTCTTAATTACAATTATTGCTTAACCTATCAACGGTATAGATTAAGTAATAATTGTAATTAAGAAGCAATAAGATGCTTATCTAACATACTAAGAAGGTTAGGTGAGGTCGGTGTTTTCTATGAAGCTTTTCAAAGTAAACTAAAATATTTACAATCAATTAGTATGTCACATATGCACTTATTAAATAAGCCAATATTGACTAAGCAAGTGCGAGAACAGGTTCCAACCACTGGGTCTTGTCCCTATCCCAGTCATTAGAGACCTAATCCCTATATTTGTTTCCTTTTGTCTCACAGCGACATCAGTGGCTCAGACACCAGTCAGACGGACAAGGGCATGCTGCTGCTGACTCTCAAGGACAAGAACAGAATTTATTCAGACATTGTCCTGGGCGAAGCCTTCGTATCCCTCTCCAACATTCCTTCAGATCTGTCTGAGGTTAAGAACTCCTACCTCCACTTGAATCTCCTCAGCAAAGACCGTCGTAAGTACTACCAGCTTAGTGCTACAGTGTCGCTAAATAATTATATGGAAAGCTAAACACAGGGAATTTGTTTTATTTACCTTTAAAAGACAAACTTTGAGATAATTATTTTATATTAATTAATTACAAATGTTTCTCAAATTTCCAAAAAGTTAATTGTAATTGACAGTAAATACAGCACACATTTATTATATTGCACAAGAAAAAATTAAAAATAATCATTAATATATTGTTTATATAAAAAATGTATTGAAATAATAAAGTAGAAACTAAAATCGTTATTTGTTTACAGATTACAGGGCGCTGGACATTCTGCTGAGCAGAAAATCAGACAACACAGCCAATCATTTTATTAAAAAAATATGTAAGCGTTATCCAGAATTACATTTGAACAGAACTAAGTAAAGAGGAGTTGTGTCCGCTGATGTGACACTTGAGTTTCTTTATGAAATGATCCGTGAGTGTGTGTGTGTGTGTGTGTGTGTGTGTGTGTGTGTGTGTGTGTGTGTGTGTGTGTGTGTGTGTGTGTGTGTGTGTGTGTGTGATTGGTAGCATTATGAAGAAAACCTTCTTAGACGTAAGCCACGCATTGAAATTGGGCATTTAATGACGGCCATCTCAGTACCGCCATTACCAGAGTATTCGTGATAAATTAAACTTTCTGGATCCTACTAATCAATACCCTCAGCTTGCTCCCCACTATGCCTACTCCTGTTCCAGCCTGGTCCCCCACTATGCCCACCTCTGCTCCAGCCTGGCCCTCCACTATGCCCACCTCTGCTCCCCACTATGCCTACTCCTGTTCCAGCCTGGCCCTCCACTATGCCCACCTCTGCTCCAGCCTGGCACTCCACTATGTCCACCCCCACCCACAAAAGTTGACTTACAATATGCAGTAATAAAGTGCAGTTACAAGAAGCTGTAGTAAGGCTAGGATAAGTGATCTTATTATGGGTGCTAGGATTAATGAGTTTTATAAGGTGATAGCATAAGTAAAGTAATACTAGGTGCTAGTGCAAGGGGCATTATACAAGATCCTATTACTACAGTTATACTAAGTGCTATTATTAGTGCAGCTATAATAGATGCAAGGTTAAGTGAAATTATTCCAGGTGCTAGCATGAGTGAGCTATACTAATTGATGGCATAGATAAGTTGTGCTAGATGCTGTAGCAACTTAGCTGATGAAGCAAGTCGATTTACTGACAACTTTGCCTTTTTTGTAAATAGACAACACTTGTTTTCAAACTGCACGTGTTTCTAATTATTGTCATGAGCTATGTAACAATTTAAATAAAATAATATAAATTCCCTTTCATATATTCTTACCATCCTGATTTCAAGCAGCAACACGGAATACATCAGTAAACAAAATAGAGTATAGAAAAGAAATAATTTATAAAAATTTGATTGATTTCCTTAAGAACAAAAAGAATTGATCTGACAATGTTATATCTGACAAAGAGGATTGATCTGATCTCGATATAAGCCTAACGTGTATGAATACACTCTAGCTCCCTGTCCCCCGACACAATGAATTATTATTATATTTTATAAACATACAATAAACCTGGGAAATTTGTATACATACTAGGCATGAAAACAGTGAGATATATACAACAACGACCAGACTAAGGCTGGGGACACACCACACTAGCAGCATACAGCTATAAATACAGGGCCGACTTAAATGAACAGTATTTTTTTTTTTCAGCACCGCTCCTGTGCCAGGTAAGTCAACTACGGGCTCACCATAGCCCGTGCTACTTGGAACTTGTTCCGAGTAGCTGAATCTATAACATCAACAACAAATGAACACACAGAGGTCACGACCTTTCCGTAGGGTGCAGACGCACCTCCACAGATCTCCAGTATCAGCTAATGATACTGGTAATGGCTCCAAAGGGCCACCACTTACGGGCTATTCATGCCCGTGCCACCTTTTGGGTGGCTTAATCATCTTCATCGTCAAATGAGCACACACAGCATTTCCAGTTCTCAGTCCTACATTGTGTTGAACTTGAAACCGTTGCTCCTTGAAACCTATATCTGACCTTTTGAAGAAATTTTTTAGATTAACATCCTCCAAATTGTTCAGTATTTTAAAGGTTTCGGTAAGGTCCGTCCTGTTATGCCTGGTTTGCAGCTGTGTTAGCCCTGTGGCCCTGTTAGCACTGTGGTGCAAAACTAGTAACAGTTATGTCGTCCGGTGTTGCACTTTCTCCAGAGCAGCTATATCCTTCTGAAGACGAGGTCTCCATGCTTGGATACAGTAATCTAAATGGGGCGCACCAACGATTTATACAATTGAATCACTACCTACTTTTCCTTGAAGTCGAAGGTACGCTTGATTATTCCGTGTTTGGTTAACCTTTTTTTGACTGCTGCTCCTACCTGTTGTGCAACTTTCATTGAGTGGAGAATTTTGACTCGAAGGTCCTTTTCAACACCAATCTGCTGTGGTGTAACGTTATTAATTAGGTAGTTGTGGCGTGGGTTGTTATGCCCCACATGCAGGGTCTTGCATTTGTCAACATTAAAAAGCATTTGCTAGTCATCTGGCCATTTGTGGAGTTCCTGCAGATCTCTTTGTAAGGCTTCAGCATCATTATCATTTCCCACATTACCATGAATCTTTGTGTCATCCGCAAATTGGATGATGTGGTTTGTAATATTCTCATCTACGTCACTGATGTATATGACAAAGGGGTTGGCCCCAAAATGGACCCTCGTGGTACCCCACTTACCACATTTCTAAAATCAGATTTATTCCATTTTAGCATCACTGTTTTCTTTGTTTTAACCATTGTTCTATTCTTCCATTTTTTCCTTGTGAAGAACTATGATATATTTACTCATTATAATTGTAGTGATGAATGTAGAACATGAAAAAACTTATTTTTACTCTGAAATAATACCATTTTATAACAAAATTAGGTCCATTAAATTACTCAAAGTCACAACATAGTTACTTGGATCGTCGACTTCCTGTGGCGTCGCCTGCCACTTAGTTTCATCTAATGTTATAAAGTGATATTATTTCAGAGTAAAAAATATGTTGTGTCATGTTCTACATTCAGCATCAACATTATAGTGAGTAAATAGATCATAGTTTTCATTATTTACGTAGTGCTTGGAAGCTTTGGGTAATTAGACGGACCGGGACGGTCTGGGGGAAGAGTCCGTCTCCTGCAGGGACTACCGTCGCTCTACCGTCTGGACGGTAGAGCGTACAGACGACTCTTAGCGGCCACGCCGGAGCCCCAGGTGGCACTTCAGAACCCGAAATATGGTCCCCCTGGAGTGGCACTGGGGCTCCCATGGGGTGGCACTGGGTCAGACACACCCTGGTCATGACCTGCCACATCTCTCTTAGACGCTCATCAACAAACACCAAACGCTTAAGTATATGCGCCTCACCAACCACACCAACCACACCCCCCACCAACCACACATCCACCGCACACACCACAGACACGCAATTCACAGGAAGAGAGAAGACGAGATGAGATGAACTGGGGATGCTAAAACACAGGTAAACAAACGTGAGGTGTCAACACATAAGTGGATGCTGGCGTCCCCGTTGTTGGGGGTAACGGAGAGGCCCCGTTGTTGGGTAACGGGGAGCCCCCCCCCCCCTCTTCCCCAAGGACACCCACCCTCATGAAAGAGAGAGTGGAGAGTCGCAGCATATATATAGAAACAGAGGATGGGCAAAAATGATAATGAAGCCCAAACAAAAAAGTTGAAGATGCTAACGAACAAGAAACAGAGAGAATAATGATAATCTAGTGTCTGGCCTGAGGCCTGAATAACCAGTTCTGGTATTGGCAGCTCACACGGTCATTCCGGTAACCCAATAAGACGATTGGTCAGTCCAATTCAACTATTCCAGTCAGCCGTCCAATCAAAACATTATGAGTCGACCAGTGCTCAAACCCACTCGGTAAATAATTTCATCCAACATAACCATCAAGCCATCCCAGCCAAGCAACTATCCGGCAAAGTTACCAACTATCCATCTTGGCCAGTAGCTATCCAGCCTGCCTAGTAACTATCCAGCCATGTCAACAACCATTCACTTCAGCGGCCAACATTCTAACCAACCTGGCAGTCCGTCATGTTGGTAGTCAAACTGCAATCAAGTCAGACTCAGATCTTGGTGTCCTACATTCAGTGACGGGATAAGGCCTGGTGCCTGCAGGATGGTGACTGGCCTGGTGTCTGCAGGATGGTGACTGGCCTGGTGCCTGCAGGAGGCTGACTGGCCTGGTGCCTGCAGGAGGCTGACTGGCCTGGTGCCTGCAGGAGGCTGACTGGCCTGGTGCCTGCAGGAGGCTGACTGGCCTGGTGCCTGCAGGAGGCTGACTGAGGAGACAGGCACCAGGAGCCTGTGGTGAGTCTGGAGGGAGTCAGAAAGTGAGAGTCACAAAGGTTCAAAGGGTGATAGGGTTTTTAAACTGATAGCGTGAAACGCTTTGAAACTACTAATAGTTTTAGCCACCACCTTCTCACTTAGCTTGTTACTACCACTCTGCAAAGTTTACCTGTGTGTGTGTGTGTGTGTGTGTGTGTGTGTGTGTGTGTGTGTGTGTGTGTGTGTGTGTGTGTGTGTGTCTGTGTGTGTGTGTGTGTCTGTGTGTGTGTGTGTCTGTGTGTGTGTGTGTCTGTGTGTGTGTGTGTCTGTGTGTGTGTGTGTCTGTGTGTGTGTGTGTCTGTGTGTCTGTGTGTGTGTGTGTGTGTGTGTGTGTGTGTGTGTGTGTGTGTGTGTGTACACTTCCTGGCACCTAGGGCTCAGGTAACCACCTTCCTCCAACTCACTCATTACTCATTCCTTCCTCAAACTCAACTTTCTACCGTACCTGACCCGCATCTTTTATTAATTAACTTTCATCATCAAAACAACCAAGAAGACTTTGTACATTCACCAAGCAGCTAAATTAATATTATTGGGGAGGGCCTTTATTTCCTGCTTCATTTAAACTTATAGTTTCCTACATCAATACATGTTGTTGTCTATCTGTTTGTCTCTGTTAGTTTTGTGATGGACCTAGTCTAGGTGTTGGGGCGATTTCAGTGGAGGAGCTCGAACACTAGTAAGAGGTGACTAAATTAGTAAAAAAAATAAATAAATAAATGTCAAAAGCTTAGAGTAATTAATTTAGATTAATGCATCAAGTGGAGAAGTTAAGGTAGCAGGAGAGGCGACTATAATTTACTCATAATAAGAGGCGGTCGTTGCATTGCATAAAGTAAACCTGAACAGGTCGCTTGCTATCTATTGTGTAATCGTGCTCTCAAATCAGCCGGGCTTCAAGTACAGCCAGTTTTTATGGTCAGGTCTTTCGGTATATTAATTGTGTAGCCATGGGACCACATTTGAGTCTTATTTTCTATCTTCAGTATACGCGATAATAGTCCTACGCCAAACGTCGACTAAGCCTACTGAGCTCTATCATATTTACATTTGAAACTGTGTATGGAGTCTGCCTCCACCACATCACTACCTAATGCATTCCATTTGTTAACTAAAATGACACTGTTGTTGTTGTTTTAGATTTGGCTAATCAGAACGAAATGTTCTTGTAGCACGAGCTATAGTGAAAAATGACACTGAAAAAGTTATTTCCAATATCTCTATGGTTCATCTGAGTACTCAGTTTCCACCTGTGTCCTCTTGTGCGTGTGCCTCCTGTGTTAAATAAATTGTCTTTATCTACCCTATCAACTCCACTGAGAATCTTGTATTTGGTGATCATGTCTCCCCCAACTCTTCTTTCTTCTAGCGACGTGAGGTTTAGTTCCCGTAGTCTCTCCTCGTAGCTCATACCGCCTCAGCTCAGGCACTAGTCTGGTGGCAAACCTCTGAACCTCTCCAATTTAGTCAGATGGTGTGAGGCAGGGCGGGCGGTGTGAGGCAGGGCGGGCGGTGTGAGGCAGGGCGGGCGGTGTGAGGCAGGGCGGGCGGTGTGAGGCAGGGCGGGCGGTGCGAGGCAGGGCGGGCGGTGTGAGGCAGGGCGGGCGGTGTGAGGCAGGGCGGGCGGTGCGAGGCAGGGCGGGCGGTGCGAGGCAGGGCGGGCGGTGCGAGGCAGGGCGGGCGGTGCGAGGCAGGGCGGGCGGTGCGAGGCAGGGCGGGCGGTGCGAGGCAGGGCGGGCGGTGCGAGGCAGGGCGGGCGGTGCGAGGCAGGGCGGGCGGTGCGAGGCAGGGCGGGCGGTGCGAGGCAGGGCGGGCGGTGCGAGGCAGGGCGGGAGGTGTGAGGCAGGGCGGGCGGTGTGAGGCAGGGCGGGCGGTGTGAGGCAGGGCGGGCGGTG